ATTCTGAGAGGGGAGGGAGAAAGAGGTCAGACAATAAGTTCATGGCATCCTGTCGTGGTAGGAGACGTAAGGACGAATGCTGAATTAGTTTTCGAAGGTCACTAAGTAGTGAAGAAGCAGAACCAAACCACCAGAGATAACTAGTGCAGATTTCTTCTATATCCATTTCCAGGCCCAGAAGGTTTTAATGTTGATGCATTAAGAACTGGGCCAAATTTCCAGCTGTATAGGGGTTGGCTTCACTCTCACTTCCTTGAGTCCAGCTTTCCTTTTATCTGTGATAATAACTATAAGCACTTCCCTAAAACCGCTTAATCTGACGGTAGAGACGGGATGAACGCAAACGGTCTGCCCGTCCGACGGCAATCCAATCATTTTACTTACCGATCTGATTACGCCAGAGTGGCAAGTCGTCTTGTGCCGCATGAAGGCTGGAACGTTAGTTCCGGTGAAGCACTAAGTCTTAGAAGACCATCGTGAGTCCTTGCAACTGTCTTCCATTGGGAGACGATGTCTGCGAAGACAAAGATCGTTATGTCAACGCTGTGCTAGTCACCGCTGGTCTTCTGGCGGTATTTATTTTCATGTTCAGTGAACCAAATGGCGCATTCGTTTGATGCGCATTCGCTGCTTAAAGAAAGGTCAAACGTGAAAAAAGTGGGAGGCATAACTTCAAAGGTGTTCCTTTTTTTTCATTCAGCATCACTATAGGCTCCTGTCTGGATCCCTCCACGCGACGTGCGCAGCAATCGCTCAACGGTGATCTGGCGGGTGTGCAACTGCTGTTGGGCCAGAATGAAGATCACAGCGTTTCCCGGTGTCTTTCTCAGTGCGGCGAGACACTGCTGTTACCGAAGGCAAACGAGGTTAGTAGAACGTTTTTTTACCAAGACTGACTTTTTTATCAGGATTGCATTTTTAGCGACACTCCCTACTAACTAGAAGGCTATTAATCCGTTTATTTTATAATTGGCCGATAAAACACGGTAATTTCCTCTGTCCTTAGGGGGTTTTCATACTTTGACTGTCGAAAAATTCACAAATTCCAGCCTCTCGAAGGGTTGCCTAACTTAACTAGTAAGTAATTGGCCGTGACCATAGGACCTGTGGGCTAGTGACGACGACCGTCTTTTTAGTTACGGAGTCAATGCAAGTGAGGAAGAGATGGTTGTAGGCATTTCAGAGCAGGCAAAGTCTCGCAGGGCCATCGGACATTGTGACACGTAATGACATTGTGAGTCAACTGGACAAAATTTCTTGCTGGTACTTCAGCAAACCTTCCAGCACTGCCGTCCTCCATGTTCGAAATTTCTTTCGTCTTTTTGGTGAAACGGAAGGAAGTAACAACGTGTAAACTTTCATCTGTGATTCTTAAGGTTCTTATTACTACAAGGTGCCCCAGAAGTAACTGAAACTTGAAACTTGTTTTTTTTTCGAAAGAAAAACATTTTTATGCTTGTATTAAAACTAAGAATTTGAATATAATGTCTTTTAACTGATGGCCATGGTTGTTTTGACAACTTAGGGTTTCTTTTCTTTGTCGTTTCCATAACGCTCCTTAGCGTATCAGGCGATAGTTGCCTTATTTCAGAACAAATGTTGTTTTTAAGTTCTTGCAGAGTTGTTGGATTTG